CAATTTACTTTATAATAATCAAATATGGGTTAACAAAGGAGATACATTACTAAATATTGTTTTGTAATTTATTGTCCTGTGATATATATTTTGATAATGAGCTAAAATTCATGATTGTCCATTAAGTCATCATCATGGCCATCCACCTCTTCATAATCCCTCTCCAACTGGGCCATGTTCTCACGAGCCTCAGAGAGTTCTGCTTCCTCAAGACCCTCACCAGCATACCAGTGGACGAAGGCCCGCTTGCTATACATGAGATCGAATTTGAGATTTACACGTGCCCATGCCTCCCTGAAGGCAGTTGTGTTAGCTAACATGCACACGGCTCTGTTTGTCTTTGCCAAGTCTCCTCCTGGAACTACAGTTGGGGGGCCTGAATTGATGCCCAATTTGAATCCAGTTGGACACCACTCGACAAACTGGACGGTCTTCTTGACTCGGATAGCAGCTATGGCTCTCTGGACGTCATTAGGTATTACATCACCACGATACAATAGACAGCATGACATGTATTTGCCGTTGCTGGGGTCACAAGTAGCCATTTGAGTGGAAGAATCAAAACAGGCATTTGTCATGTCTGCTACAGACTGTTGTTCATGATTTGCATTGTCAGCTGATATAACAGGTGCATATGTAACTATTGGGAAGTGAAGACGTGGCAGTGGCACAAGATTAGTTTTAAAATCTCTAAGATCAACATTAAGATCTCCATCAAAGCGAAGGGAAGCAGTTGATGCAGACACCACCTGTGCAACATGATGATTTAGGTTATTGTAATTTGGACGACCGACGTGTAGTTTGTTGATGCACAGGTTGTAAGTAGCTTCATTGTCAAACACAAAGACACAATGGTCATATTCCATGGTGGTGGAGGCATGCAACACAGCATTGTAGGGCTCAACGACAGCAGTGGACATACGGGGTGAGGGGAAAACTGAAAACCTTAGCATACTGGGGCTTGTGAACTCTTCCATCACTTTCTCTAATAACAGCGACATGAAACCTGACCCAGTGCCTCCGCCAAAGGAATGAAAAAACATAAAACCCTGAAAAAAGGAAATTCTGTTATTTTCATTAGTAAAAACAAGAAACATGGAAATATAATAGTAAATCTATATATATACCTATCTATTTATATAGAAATATTTGCAAAAACTATAAGAACAAACGTAAATGAATGCTATTACTTATATCAATGTTCATTACCATTCCATTCTTAATGATACAACTGTGTATTAGAGTTCTATATAATTTCGAAAAGAAAAATTCCTTTACTCCAATAAACCTTCTGAAATGCTCTTGAAAACAGGGTTTCTATCTCTATCCCATCTCATTTCTATATCCCTCTTCCTACACGGTCACTAGCTAGAGTGCCTGTGATGACGGAAGCTCACCTGTAACCCAGAACATGCTTCCGCCTGCTTCCTTATCCGGTTAAGGACTTTGCGCACAACCTCCTGTCCGACGCTGTATCGGCCGCGGGCGAAGTTGTTGGCTGCGTCCTCGGTGTGAGTGACAAGGTCGTCGGGACGGAAGAGGTCCCTATACACGCCATGCCGCACCTCGTCTGTTTGGAGGATTTGCAGTAGATGATGAGTGCCAGACATGCCGATTTGTGCCATCGTGTGTCAAGATAGAAATAGGGGCTAATTTGTTTTATTCCTTTAAATTCTATTTGAAGCTTTATTCACTGTCAAAAGTCCGAATTTGAAACGTTTGGTAATTTGAAGTCTTCTCTAAACTCATGTATTTATATAAATTGTCCTACATGTACTGAAACCAAAAAAAAATCTAATCTAATCATAAATTATTGCTTTGATTATAATTGTAAATGGAAAATTGCGTAAACTTTATGCTACCATACTAGAAGCAACGTGAACCTAAACACTGACCCACAACAGATGGTTCGAGGTCAACGAAGAGCGTTCTGGGCACGTATCGCCCCTCCTTCGTTTCAGAGAAGAAAGGGTCAAGATTGCCGTCGCCACTGCACAGGGAAAAGAAATTTGAATTAATATCAATTAATAACTTCTCCCTCTCCTCCTACTCTCTCCTTCTCCCTCTTCCTCTTCTCTTCCCCTCCTCCCGTCTCTCTCTCTCTCCACTTTCTATCCCTCTTCCACCCTTTCACCTTTCTCTGTGCCTCTCCTTCTCTACTCTCCCTCTCGCTTTCACCTCCATCTCCCTTCCTTTATTCCTCTACGCTCAGCCACTCCCACTCCTTCTCCCACTCCCTCTCCCTCTCCCTCTACGCTCAACAATCCAAACCCACTAGTCCCTATATCCCTCCCCTTTTTTATCTCCCTCCTCTCCCTTTCCCTTTCTCACTCTCTATCTCCCTTTCTCCCCGTACGCTCTCAACGCAAACTCACTAGTCATTATACGGCACACCGTCAGGGTAGATGCCGTGCTCCAGACAGTAGAGTTCCCAGCAGGCTTGGCCGATCTGCACGCCGGCCTGGCCCACGTGCACGGACACCACCTGGCGACTCCGACC